AATTCTAGAACTGCTGTCTAGAAACCATTTACCTGGAGTCATCTAATATCAATGACTATTACAATCTTTCTGCCTCCTTTTCTTCAATGTTTCCTTGAAGGGAATGGGCCTTGGAGAGAGGGCTGTGCTGTCAATATTCCATTCAGGACTGAGCATTCGGCAGTTTTTTATTCTCTGCACCTTGGCCAGTTCTGGGTCTCTGTGTTAAGTGCTATCTACTGCAAAAGGAAGCTTCTTTGATGAGGGCTGACGGAAGCACTAATCTATGCACATAATGATAATGTACATAATGAGGCCTATGACCTGTCTAGCCACAGATTCTTGTCCCCAGGAACAATGTCGGGTACTAGTCTTCAACTTGTGGAGCAGGCCTTAAATCCAACCAGAAAGAGGTTGTTTACTCCCATAACATTCTTGCTTATACCTCACCAATGAGCATGTCTTGACAGGCAGGTAGGTCACTGTCTCAACTCTCTGGGTTCACATCAGGATAAAGTTGATGATAACTCTTCCCTGGTAGCATGCATAGAGCCTTCCAGTTCTGAGAAAGCTAGCCAGTAGGGATGAAGCTTTCGGGTGAGCACCAGCTAGCTTTCTCCATGTTCTGGGTCTCAAGTGTGTGAGACCATCAGCAATAGCATCTCACTGTTAAGTTCTGGAGGGTCCAATAACTGATAATGTTTGGGAGTCTGTGGGATCTCACTGACCAACAATTCCAAAAATAGTAACCCATTCCCTGTACTAGGCTTTTAATCTATTATCCTGTGGTTTCTAGCAGGGTCATTGTTGTGTTATAGGGTTATGCCATTTAAGAGCTCTCTCTCTCTCTCTCTCTCTCTCTCTCTCTCTCTCTCTCTCTCTCTCTGTGTGTGTGTGTGTGTGTGTGTGTGTGTGTGTGTGTGTGTATGTGTGTATGTGTGTGTGTGTGTGTGTGTGTGTGTGTGTGTGTGTGTGTGTGTGTGTGTTTTAGGAAGCTAATACAGTGGTTGGTTTCCATATTACTTCTCAAAATGTCTTTAGTGTTAGCTGTTCCTCCCCACACTCCATCATCTATCATGCCCTCCTGTCTCCCTCCATTAACTCCTTCTTGTATCGTTATTCTTTTAACCCTTTATTGCACTGTGTTCTATCTACCCTCCCTTTAAATCTGCCAGCCATGGATCCTCACTAATTCCTGACCTGTGGGCATTCCAGATGGAACAACTGTGGTTTAAATGCATTGGTGATTAATTCCAAGTCACCAATAATGCCTCAGTGTTGCATTAAGGAAAGAAATAAAAGCACTCCCCCTGGAGTCATTTAACCAAGAACAAGTCCAGCTTCTCTCCACCTGCATCTTCCATCTGCTGACTGTCGCAAGAGTCTGAATCTGTGCCTGCTTGGGGAAGGCCATCTTGTAAATCTGTCTGTCCATGTATCTGTGTCTGTCCCTGTATGTGTGACTGTGTCTTCTGTCTATGTGCTTCTTTCCCTAACAGAGGGCTTCATTCTGTCTTTATTGAACAGCCTAGAAAGCCTCACATGGGGAAGGAGTGAGGGATAGTTGACAGGAATCTTCAACAGAGTTTTACAAGGACGGAATCACTGGCTCCAACTGATCCCAACTGACCCAGACAACAAACATCATCATTTATCAAGCAACATCCGTCAATGGTTGCTTTCAACCTTTATGATAGATTTTTACAAAGCTGCTTTCAACTTCAGTATTTGCTGCTTTCAGCAAATGATACATGTGCATTGCCTGGGTCAGGGGCACAGGAGGAGCACATAACTTAAGATTGCGGCTGTGCATTAGCTTAGGTTGCAAAAGTTGATTCCATGGGAAATCCGAGGCCGGTAAGGTTGGCTGTTACACTGTTCTCTTAAAAACAGATTACTCTTTGTCTCCAGATGGTGCCGAGAAGACAAGCTGCCACCAAGATATTAGTGGGTTGGTTCTGCTCTCTTGACAAGGTGTCATGGTCCTTGAACTGAGCCTCATTCTGTGTTACTGTCTTAGTTAGGGTTTCTATTGCTGTGATGAAACACTATGACCAAAAGCAACTTGGGAAGGGTGTAGTTCACTCACAGTTCCTTATCATCATCCAAAGCAGTGAGGGAAGGAACTCAAGCAGGGCAGGAACCTGGAGGCAAGAACGATGCAGAGGTCATTGAAGGGTGCTGCTCACTGGCTTGCTCCTTGTAGCTTGTTCAGTCTGCTTTCTTTTAGACCCCAGTACCACCCTCCCAAGGATGGCACCACCCACAATTGACTGGCTGTCCCCCATCAATCACTAACTAAGAAAATACTCTGTAGGCCTGATCATATGGAGGCATTTTCTCAATTGAGGCTCCCTCCTCTCAGATGACTTCAGTTTGTGTCAAGTTGACATAAAACCAACCAGCACAACTGGCCCTTGTCAACTTGACACACAAACACATCACTTTCCAATTAGAACCATCCCTTTCTTTTTTGTCCCCAACACAGCACATTAATATTAACATCACAATATAAAACATAAATAACTTTAAAAGTCTAAGTCTTCATAAATCCAAACACATTAGAAATTCAGTTAAAAATCGAAAATCTCTTTTAAAAGTTCAAAGTCTCTCCATTGTGGGCTCCTACAAAAATTAAAATTAAGCTAAATACTTTCTTAATTTAAGAGGAAAGAACTAGGGCATAGTTTCAATCTGAAAAAAGCAAAACCAAACTTCAGCAGTGTAAATAACTCAATGTTCAATAGCTAGGATTCACTCACAGTCTTCTGGGCTCCTCCAGGGGGCTTGGATCACGTCTCTGGCTCCGCCCACTGCAACACACACAGTTTGTCTTCTAGGCTCCGGCTGGCTCCACTCCACTGCTGCTGTAGTTCTTGGTGGTCACCCCATGGTACTGGCATCTCCAAAATTCTCGGGTCTCCTGCTGCAATTGGGCTGCACTTTCACCAATAGCCTCTCCTAGGCTCTCTTCACAGTGCCAAGCCTCAATTTCTCTCCATGACTCCTTCAATTCTGGGCCTTCAACTGCCACTGAGGCTGCACCTTCACCAGTGGCCTCTCATGGCCTCTCACAGTGCCACGTCTCAGATGCTCTTCATGAGGTAGAACTCCCAGCTGCTTCTCCAGCACCATGTCTGCCTCCACGCAGCCACGCTTCCCACCATGATGATAATGGACTAAACCTCTGAAACTGTAAGCCAGTCGCAATTAAATGTTTTCCTTTATAAGAGTTGCCATGGTCATGGTGTCTCTCTACAGCAATAAAATTTAACTAAGACAGGGAGGAACAGGTGTGTTTGGCTTACACTTCCGTATTGCTGTTCGTCATCAAAGGAAGTCATCAGGACAAGAACTCAAATAAGGCAGGAATCTGGAGACAGGAACTGATGAAGAGGCCATAGAGGGCTGCTGCTAACTGACTTGGTTCATATGGCTTGCTCAACCTGCTTTCTTATAGACCCTAGGACCACCAGCTCAGGGATGGCACCACCCACAATAGGCTGCCCTCACCCCCAATCAATTATCTAAGTAAGAGAATGCTCTACAGGCTTGCGTAGCCTGATCTTCTGGAGGAAGACTGAGGTTCAATCGAGGTTCCCTCCTCTCAGATGGCTTTAGCTTGTGTCAAGTTGACATAAAACTAACCATGACAGTTATGTAGCTCTGACAGACTTCATTCTTCATTTACAAGACTTATGATCCTGAACCTCCTGTTAAGCCTCAGTTTCCTGTCTCTTCCATCTCAGCTCCTAAGGATCTTGTCACCTCTGACTTTCAAAGGTTTTTCTTTAGTCTGAGCATGAGCACTGGCTCCCAGTGAGGCTAATCACAGCCTCAGATAGCGTAGGCTCTCACCACCTTGAGGCCACCTCTGCTACTGCCCTCATCATTTCCATTGTCATCACCTGCTCACAGGCACACCGCTGTAAGTAGTTCTTCATCTTTCTGTCCCCAGTACCCCATACAGAGTTACTGTGTAATTAGCACGGTTGACTAATTCTTGTCTTATTGAGTATACTATCCCATATGTTACCTTCCTTTACCTCAAGAACAAATTTCATGAATTAGAATTCCTCCAGGGGAGATGAGAAGGGAATCTTGACTTTGAACCATCACTCATGTTTACTTTATTCCTAATAATTGATGATTTCTATGCTATGGTTGCTGACACAGAAAACTGAGGCTTAGTGAGTTCAGTATTGTAAGTCCTGCAATTGTCTGGAAGCTGATACAGAGACCCAGAATGCCAAGAAAGGTAGAATTAAACCTGATGGTCAAGTTCTATGTGATGGGGTACAGCAGTGACAGGGCTTCCGAAGACAACATCTAACAGATGCAGCACGGGATGTGGTGGCCAAATGATACGAGAGGGGGTATGGAAGAGAGGAAGAGTGAGAACACAACATTCAATATAACATGGAAATGGTGGCCCAGGAGTATGGGGTGGGGCAGGGCAGTGTGGGGGAACGGAAGACAGCGTGCAACCACGTGGCCTGGGAAACGGTGGTCCAGCAGTGTGGGGTGGGGTAAGGCAATGAAAGGGGATGATAAAACAACGCTCGACCTGACACAGGACACGGGGGGAAAAAACCTGTGGAGTGGGGCAGAGGGGTGAAGAGAACACTGGATATCAAAGAAGCGGAGGGGTGGGTTTGGCCAGGCTGCTTTGGTCAAGAATGCCTGGTGGTCAGACATGCCGGCTTATGTGTCTGGAGCTCCGTGTGAAAGCCTGGAGAGCCATAAAGACTGAGAGTTCATGTGTGATAAAAACCCAAGGTGTGTGTGTGGGGAGGGAATGAGCTGAGGAGAATCTTGGGCACCCCGAGCAGATAAAGGATGAATGAGAGAAAGTGTCCACAAAGAATACTGCAATGGAGAGAGAAGACAATAAAATATGAAGAGCAGGTGCTGTCCAGCCACAATAGAAATTCCTGGAAAAAATTAAAAACATAGTTGGATATATACTCCAAAGACTCTAAGTCAGCAAACCACAGAAGTACCTACACACCCATGTTTATTACGACACTATTCACAATAGCCAAGTTATGAGACCAGACTAGATACCCATTAACAGATCAACAGATAAAAAATATGTAATGTGTATACAATGGGATATAGTCAGTCACAAGGAAAAATGAAATAATATCATTCACTAGAAAATGGATGGGACTGGAGAGCATATTAAGCTAAATTAGTTAGACTACGTGAAAAGGTACCATGTACTTTCCCTCATGTGTGAAATGGAGATTTATTTTACAACTCACTTTTTCAGTTAACAAAACAATTACAGAAAAGGAGGACTATAAAATGTTGCAGACACATGAAGCAGATAAAAACAGAAAAGCAGCCAATGTTTTGGTAGTGAAGGATGGCGTGCTGTTACAGGGGCATAAAAATGAGGTTTCCACAAATTAAAGAAGAAGCAAGTCTTGGAAACAAATATAATCTACTCCCTCAGTTCTGAAAGGATTTAAAAAAAAAAAAAACTGCAGTGGTTGGGGGAGGGTGGATGCCAAGGCAGGGAACGATCTCTCCAGTTAAACATGAAAATGCCGGAATCATTATTTACTGAGGAAAAACGAGCTGGTGGAGAAGCGTTTCCTCTGGCAATGTCCCTGCTTGTTTCTCTTCACCTGCACTAGCTGCCTTGCCCTGCATCCAATGTCCGAAGTGTTTCCTGCCTCTGATGCCGTGGTCAAATGCCCCAGCTTTTCTGACCATCTGAGAAACGACCTATCCCCTTGACAGAATTTTGGCAATCTATTTCTAGACACAAAAGCCACATTTTAGCAAGAGATGCAGCCTGGCGCCTCTTTCTCCCAATCCTGCCACTCAGTGTTGCCTTGATGCTCCCAGGGTAGACAAAGCAGAGAGGATGGAAGTCCTCTGGGGAGCACTCGATGCCCAAACCCTTCGTGTTCATCTTCCTAGAAGTCACCCTTGTCTGCCATTGAGCAATGGCCCCTATGGGAACAAATTCTGTGTAAGCCTAACTGAGCTTAGAACTACTAAGGAACAATTTTAATTAATTTAAGTTGAAACAGCCACATATGGTCAATGGCTAACCCATGGGACAACGTGTCGTTGAGCATCCAAACCCCCCAATCCACCCCTGCTTCCACCACCCCCACCTCCACTCTCAACCCAGCCCTAGTGTCAGAGTGAGATCCTGAGCCTTTCAGAATGGTAGAAACTGGATCCCCAGGAGGACTAGGTGACTGTCCCTGTGTACTGGATGGAAGGCAGGGGGTGGCCCTGCTGTCTCCAAGGGGAGCCATGCAGGACAATTAGAGGGAGCTGAAAATGAGCATGAGGATGTGACAGGGTCAAGGTGAGACCTAAGGCTACGAACATACAGCAAACGGAGGGCTGGAGGAGGTGGAGGCAGAGCGAGAAATGAAGTGGACCAGACAGCGCTGTAGACTTGGGACTCACACCAAAGCCCAGCAAGCTCCCCAAATTCCCATCCCTCCTCCCTGCCCCTCATTGCTGCCGAATTAGTAGAGGGACCACTGAGCATCTCCTAGTGCAGACGCCTCGTTTGGTAGACGAGTGAGCAGGGTGCAGATGACTGGAGTCGTAGATTGAACTTGTGGCAGAATCAGGAGACCAGAGTCCTTCTCGCTCTCAACCCCGTGTCCCCTCTCCCCACCCCTAACCGGTTCCCCTAAAGGAAGGCAGAGCGGCCTCGGAAGAACTGCAGATAGACAATAACCAGGCAGAGGGCACCCCAAAACAGACACCAGCGAAATGAGAAGAAGCTGTAGATAAACCCGGCCTGGGCTTTCCTCTTGGAGGCCTCGGTGTAGGCGGCGTCCTCTTCCAGCAGCTTCTCACTAGGCTTCCAGTGCACGATGCCTTCCTGGCAGGCCTCGCAGAACTCGCCGCGGTGCAGCCCGCTGTCCGGCCGGCTGGCCACGTGGATGCGGTACTGGCCACCGTCTTCGTCGTAGCACTGCTCGCGCAGGCTGGTGATGAGGTTGTCCACCAGGCCCTCGATGTTCTCCTCCAGCATGCTGGACTCGTCCAGCCGGGCTGTGCCGCACTGGTAGCACAGCTGCTTGAACACGCGCATGCGCACCGAACCAACGCGCTGGGCACGGTCGAGGTGCATGTGGAAGAGGATGACCACATTAGCGGACTGCCAGGTGTGCCAGCACCAGGAACAGTGGAACCTGACAGGGAAGGAAGGGGGAATAGGCCAAGTGAGACTCTCACGGACAGCCAGCCCTGGGGAGCACAGGAAAGAAAAGGCCGGAGGCGTTAGAGGCTGGAAATGGGAGCGTGATGTTTACCAGTTGGTGGGTTCGTTATCACTGGAGGTCACCAGCTACCACCTCTGCCTGGGGACCAGAGCAGCATCCTTAGGAGCCTAGCACTGAAACCACCTGGCAACCCGCCAGCGATCATCTGGAAGCTGCCTCCTGTGTGCCCTCTCACGGTTCTGCCCTACTCCCAGCCTATTACGGAACTGCATCTGGTCAACTTGCAAAGAAAGTATGGCTCCCTTTCTCTGCAACTCGTTTCTCATCTGCTAGCTGCAGCGTGACGGTGTCCACGCGGGACTTTGTGCTCAGACATTGCTCTGAAAAGGGGGCGGCAATGTCACTGGCTGACTCCTGAATCTTGCTTGCTCTGAGGAGATGGCAGGGAAGCTCAGATCCTAGTACATTGTAGGGCTCCAGCAAGATAGCTAGGAAAGCAGCTAGCCAGGAAAGCAGGGTAGATTGGCAGCCTGCAACAGACTGGATAAGAGAGAATGTTAAGCTCAGTTCTTATATCTTCACAGAGGCACCCCCCCTTAACCAGTTTTCTCTAGGGACCGCAGCAGTCCTGGGTGAGAAAGGGAAAAGTAGACTGTGTCCCCTTGCTTACCTACCCCCAACCTGACCTTCATACAGGTCACATTGTCTAATCTGGACTCCTAAAGCCACAGCCTCAGAAAGCCTAGAGGGAGGTGGCCTAGGGCTCACCTGCCAAACCCAGCTCCTCTTAGCCTCCCAATAGTGTTTATGTACCCTGTGATGGGGCTCTCCTTAACTCCAGTGAGGCCCCTTGTGCTCCTGAAATGACCTCTTGTAAGCCCCTGTTACAAAGGCTTTGGAGGCATTTGCATGTCCACTGGGCTGTTTCTGCCCTTGTTGCTGGCTCTGCCTAAGTCCATTGCACGATGGCTTCAAAGGACCTCTGATGAAGAACTCAGTTCAATCCAACAGGCACCAACTGTATTCCAAGCACTACTCAGCCACTGTGGAATAGCCGTGATGGCAAGGCAGCCCCTGACCCCTGCAAGCCACTGACAATATGAGCATAGAACAATACCCAATGCCACCCAAGACATGGTCAAAAGTGAGGAGGAATCTGATTAGTCCTAGATTGGAAGGCTTCCACTTTCCTCCCCATCCCTGCACAGGGCCAGTGATGCTGGGCCTGAGATTTAATACATCTGAAAGACTAAAAGAGCCTGTGTGCACAATGACTGCGCTTTAGCTCTTCCTGAGGCCGGCTGGGACTAAACCCCAAGGTTCGAAGACCTGTGAGCCTTTGCAGCTGTCCCTAAACTCCAGAAGCCCCACATACCCATTCCCAGCCTTCTGCACATTGTCCTCCAAGAGGCTGAAATGCTTCGTGTTTTCAGTCTCCCACGTTGTTTTAAATAAGCCAGTCCAGAATTATTTCCTCTCTCTCAAGCCAAACCCCATATCTCCAAAAGTATCCAACATGGGTGAGCATTTTGGGAGAGATGAGGCTGAATCATAGAAAATAAGAGAGCATGCAGTTACTTAGAGGGATAGCCAGCACCCAGTGCCCATAGTGGGCGCCAACACAAACCAATCAACCCATTTTCTGACCTGTGTCAATACAGGTTCCATCTATTGTTTGCAAGGCATGTGGTGAGACTCCAGATGGCCAGTCCCCACCCATAGCCTGCCTCTTTCTGATCCCACCCTCGTGCTGTTCTCTACCCAAGAGGCTTCACACCCATGCACTATGGGCAACCCAAGTCTCTGCCATGTTTTGTTCGCACCTCCACAACACACCCACCAGCTGGTCTCCTGTGAATCCAAATGCCCAAAGAGGAGGACTGGGTAGCTCCTGCAGGTGGGCTGGAGGCCATGTGAGCGGGAAACTGTGGCCCCAGTCCCAAGTCACCAGACTGTAAGAGGGAAATGATGTCGGCTTTAGAAAGCTGCAAGGACACTTTGCATGATGGGAGGTGAGGAACACTTAGAAAGTGGAAAGTCTCTTTGAGGCATGTGGGAGAGCTGGCTGGCCCTATGGTCATAAGAGTGGGAGAGCCATCCCTGCCCCCTACCAACTGCAACACTCTGGAGAGCAGATGCTACACCTCACCAGGACAGTATGATAGAGTCAACCCTGTTAGCTCAGGTATGGGTGAGCCAGCCCTGAAATTGTGAGCATGGGAGACCGGTCCCCATTACCCATCTGTCTTGTGGCAGCATGGACGGGGGGGGGGGGGGGGGACAGTTGCTGCCCCCCCATCAACACCTGGGGCAGGTGGGAGAGCCGGCCCTGTGATCATAAGAACAGGTAAGCTGTCCCTGCCCCTCATCAGCTGCAGCACTTGGGAGAGCAGGCCCTGCACCTTGCCTAGGTAGCACAATAGAGCTGACTCTGTTGGCAGAGATGTGGGTGAGCCAGCCCTAAAGTTGTGAGCATGGGAGAGCTGTCTCCATTTCTCATCTGGTGGGCCAACGCTATAGCTGTGCCGGCCCAGAACCAGGGTTATGACTTGGCACTCCCCAACATCCACCCCATCTATGATCTGCTGGAGTACGTGAAGGAACTTGACCCAGAGACCCAAAGTTGCAGGATCTCCACAACACAGGGCAACAACGGGATACCCAGGAAGAGTCCTAGTGAGGACCCAGCAGGCCTCACTAGGAGGTGTAATAGAAACAAGAGGCCTCAAACCAGACCAGACTCTTTGCAATGAACATCTACAAGTAAAGATATATAGACAAAGGAGGTTACTGCATGACTCATTGTGTCACACTACAGCTTCCATGATGAGATTTTTAATTTTTTTCCTTTTTTTATTTTTTTCATTTTTCTCTTAAATTTTATTTTATTGGGGGGGGCAGGTACAGGGGTGGAGAATGGATGCAAAGGAACAGGAAAATGAATGGGATCGAGACACATGATGTAAAAAATGCACAGAATAAGTTTTTTAAAAAGACATCAAAAAATGACAAAAAGAAAAAGGAAGGAAGGAAGGAAGGAAGGAAGGAAGGAGGGGTAGAAAGTCTAGAGACAGTCCTACCTGGGGTCAGCAGTTTTATTGTCCCTCCAGAGATAGGAAAGTTGGAAGAGTGATGTGCTAAGAAGAACTAAGGTGAACCCCTTGTTTTGCAAATGTGAAAACTGGGAGCCAGAGAAAGAAGGGGACATGCCCAAGTCCACAGAGCTGTGGAACCAGGTTCTCAAACATACCATGTGCTCAATAACGTATCCTGTCTTCAAGTCTTGTTGCATTTGAGTGAGCAGAGGGACGCCAGAGCCCCAGAGCACAAGTCCCCCGAATCCTAGGTTGGCAATGCCCATTGCATCTCCTCTCCATTCCAGCTACGCCAAGCACCTGAATTTTCGGGGCTCTGAAGCCTTCCCACTCCTGATTTTCTATGAAAGACTGAAGTTAAAATGCAGAGTACAATTTACTCGGAGCAACCGAGAAATCGGAACTGCTGTGGTTAGAAGCAAAGGCTCTGTGGCAGTCCATTCCCTGCTGGTCTCCTCAGCCCAGACTTGGAAAGTCTGTGACGCCTTCCATCCCCCCCTGCGGGGGGGGGGGGGGGGGCGGGCACTGCCTGCATGACCCTCCCATCAATCTCTCACCTGCCTGAGGCATGCTGTTCCAGGTACTGCTTCCAGCCCGGGCCCAGTTCATTGGGCTTGAGGTTGGGGTCTATGATGAGTTCCCAGCTGTCAGCTGGCTTTGCCACCTCCATCTTCTCATAGAAGACTTTTTTCCACTCACAAGTGGTCAGGCTGGTGGACATGGTCCCGTTGGCCTGGATGGAAATGTGAGTTCAGTCTGAGGAAGAACACAGAAAGCTTGGATAGATCGATGCAGCCTGGGCAGTCTCTGTGGTCCAAAAAGCCTTACCCACAAGACCCAGCTCCCTCTTCTGTCACCCTGGAAGCTGTTGCTATGACAGCCAGGCAGGTACCAGGAGCCAGAGCTAGGGAGGAGGAAAGTCCCAAGTGAGAGGTCCAGGGTCCTGAGCTAGACTATAGTTAAACGGAGCAGTAATACTGACCAAGTAGAGAAAGCGAGTAGGAGGTGAGCCCCAGCCCAAACTGCCCGGGGCTGACAGAGGTCCAAAGGTTATGTGGCAGCCCTGTTCACCCCACTGCTCTTCCACATTTTCTCCAGCCATGTGCTATGGCAACCGTAACACCCTAGGGAGCCCAGGAGAAACAGGATGGAGGTGAGGGACCTGATGCTCCCACACTCCTGATGCGCTGTGACCACTGTTCATCGTGTGCCAGGCACACGCTATTTGACCTGTGCATTAGCCGAGACAGACCAGAAAACAGGCTTAGGTAACCTCCAAGAGCTCACCCACAATTCAGATCCGGCCCTTCCGAAATGATACCTATCCTTTTGATTACTGCAAGAGTATTAAGCTCCTAACAGTGATTAAGAAAGGAGTGACATGCAGCCCTTCGCTAGAGAATTCTCAGTCCAGTTGGTGAAAGAGAAGTAAGGTAATACACCATGAAAACCACAATGATGGCAATTCAGACTACAGGGTTGCAACATTCACTCCCTGCTCCCCAGGCTCACTGAGGCTGCTGGTAGGGGAGCTATTTCCTTCTGAGCTGCAGGCTTTGGCTGCCTCAGCTGCTGCAGAGCAGGCAACAGAACACCTCAGCTCCCTGATGCCCAAGCTAAATTCTTTAGAGACCAGAGGGAACTTAACTCTATATTTGCATAATCCAGGGAGGGTGGCCCCGCCCCCTCAGAGGATGTGGTGTTATACCTGGACTCTGCCCAGAACGCTGTGAGGTTTCCGATGCCTGTAGTCCATCATCTATCAGTTCTTCAACCTGAAGCTTCTGCTCCCTAGAGCCATGGGGACGGCAAAAGTGGGCAGAACTCAAAAGGGTTGCAGGAGCTGGGAGTTATCGTTGCTACAGGGTTCCAGATTTGTCACGTGTCTCCATATGGTTTCCATGTGGGGTGAGGTTGGGAGCAGTGACACCGGGTGTCCTTCAGATTAGAGAAGTGTCCCTTGCCTAGTTCTGTGTTAACTGCAGAAAGGACAAAGGTGTGTTGTAAAGCCATGAAGAACTACTGACTTCCAGTTTCTCTCTTGGCCCCAACTCAAATCCCTGCATCCCAGCCCTCCTTCCTTTCTCTTTTTGCTTTTACTTTTATTTATTTATTTACTTATTTATTTATTTATTTTTTATTTTTTTGATTTTTCGAGACAGGGTTTCTCTGTGTAGCTTTGCGCCTTTCCTGGATCTCGCTCTGTAGACCAGGCTGGCCTCGAACTCACAAAGATCCACCTGTCTTTTACTTTTATTTTTATTTATTTTCTTTTTGAAAAGGTCTCACTATGTAGCCCTGGTTGGCCTAGAACTCACTACGTAGAACACACTGGTCTGGAACTCATGGAGATCCGCCTGCCTCTGCCTCTCAAGTGCTGGGATTAAAGGCTTGGGCCACCGCATCCAACCCAAATCTCTTCATAGTGAATCAGGACAACTGGGGTCTAGAAATGGGTAAGGACTCCCAAAAAGAACTCCGGGCTCACTGAGGACTCTCCTGTAATCAGCTACAGAGCAGGTGACATGCAGGACCCATGAATTCCCAGGAACTGAAGGAAGCTGACAGATTTGGCCTGGCCTAGAGCTGCATGCCATGGTCTGAGGGGTACTCTGCCATTGTTCCCAGATCAAATGATGAAGGGAAAACAAAAGGACAGTGGGAACTGCCAGGGTTCATCTGTTTTGCTTTGCTTTGTTTTTCTCTCAGATGATGCAATCCCCTTAGGCACAGGATCATACTTAAGTTAGAAGGAAGTTCTCTGAGCAGGGACCAATGTCATTCATCTTTCCAGACAGCAGTGCTCTTTGTGCTGCAAAGTCCTGCTTGGGATCTCATCAATGAGTGCAGCAATTACTATACAATGAGTGTAGCAATTACTATACAATGAGTGTAGCAATTACTACCTCAGTCTTCTCAGTGTGGTGCTGGGCTGCACCATTAAGAAGCTCTCCATGTGGGCACATTGCTCACTGGCAGCTCACACAGAGCTGCCTTAGCATCACTCCGGGTGATATTCTTTAAAATGAACTAATTTCAGCCTTAATAAAATAACACTGTCCACCTATATCCCACAAGCAAAACACACCACTCCTTGTATTCTTCTACGAAATGTCAAGTAATAAATACTTGTGCGAAAGGTTCATTATTCAGATTCGACTTGTTAGAATACTATATGACACATCAATGTGGAACCAAATGATGGGAAATATGTAAATCAGAATCACCTGGGAACCGCTTTCCGGAGATTTCAGCACATGTTCTTCAGGGAGCACAATCTCCCTCCACCAGCTCCATGCTGGGCTGAATCCCACCACAGCTGGTCACTGTTACTGATAGGCAGGTGATAAGCCATGGGGTACCCAAAGTTCAAGTAAAATAACTCAGTGGCTCATGATACTGCTAAACAAATCCAGGGAAACAAAAGCTGTGTTATACCTTCCTGTCTCCAAGTTCAAAGAACCTTAGCAGGTCCTTGATGAATGCTTTTCAAGTGATTTTGGAAGACTTCCCCATCCACAGACCCCAGCACTCAGTTCACTGTGGTCCACGCACGATCCGCTCTTCAGGTGGAAGTAACTGTTGAGTCTTAGGCTAGGTCACCCGGTCAGAGCAGTTGACAGACTGTCCAACAGAGGTACCTAGGGAAGAAGGCATGTTGCCTGCATTGTCCTTTCCTCAGTGAGCAACAGCCAGAGCAAACCTGAGCTTCCCGCATTCGATCACTAATATTCTAGGGTTTGAGCTCCTCCTGCGTTCTTCCAACCCCCGTAGGCTCATAACAACTTATGACCAGACAAGAATCAAGAGTTCTGGTATGCAAGCCGGGGGGTGGTGGTGGCGCACGCCTTCAATCCCAGCACTCGGGAGGCAGAGCCAGGCGGATCTCTGTGAGTTCGAGGCCAGCCTGGTCTACGGAGTGAGATCCAGGAAAGGTGCAAAGCTACACAGAGAAACCCTGTCTCGAAAAAACAAAAAAAAAAAAAACAAAAAAAGAGTTCTGGTATGCACTTATAAGTAAGGGTGACTAAGGATAATGATGCTATACTGCATATTTCAAAAGCTAGAAAATTATTTTGAATATTCTCACCATAAATAAGTAATAAATTCTTGAGGAAATAGATGTTTGTCCTAATTTTAATATTACACAGTGTATATATGTATCTAAAATCACATAATACCCTCAAATAATTTTTTAATTTTCATGTGTTTATTTAAATCAATTAAAAAAATTTTTTAAAGCAGACTATCTGGTCTATGGATATGTCTCAGTGGTAGAACATTTGCCTAGATAAATAAGGCCCAAGCTTGAGCTCTAGGACCCTTACAAAAAAGAGAGCGGCCACAATCTATCTAGTTACACTGTATTAGTTAGGTTTCTATTGCTGTGATAAAACACCATGACCCGAGGCAGCTTAGAAGAGGTTTATTTGGGCCTGCAGTTCCAGACATGATGGCCATGTGAAGGTGTGGCAGCAAGAACCGGAAACATTTTGAATCTCAAGCATGAAACACAGAGAGAATTAGAAATGGCGCAAACCTTTTAACTCCCAAAGCCCGCCCCAAGTAATGCACTTCCTCCATTAAGGCCACACCTCCCAAACCTCCGAAAAAGTGTTAACTGGGGACTAAGTGTTCAAATGCCTGAGACTATGGGGGAATGCCTCATTCCTCCAAACCATCACTTATACCTAGGCGGAGACCCAGTAAAGGATCATTGCACTACTTACAAGTGTAAACAAAAGATTAGGAAGGGAGAATGGGAAGCTCCAGGCGAGGACAGGCAGCAGGAGTTGAATGAGAAGGAGGACACTTTGAGCAGGTACAGCTGGTTCTAAGTTGAGGGACTCCATTAAGTTTCCTGGGCTATATTCAGATGCTGCTAGTTGATCTGGATATTATACACACAAATAATTATGATTCCACTCTGGGACAATCCCAGGCATCGTGGCGTAGGGAAAGGGGACACAGGGTAGCTGGTGCTAGCTTTTCAAGCATTCATTCTAAAGTGACACTAGTCACTTCCTGTGCTGATTTGGATGAGAAACATACCATATAGGCTCGTGTATTTAAATCCTTGGTCCCTAGTTGATAGCTTTAGGAAATGCAGTCTTGCTGGAGAAAATATGTCACTGGGGAAGGACTTTAAAGGTCTAAGTTCTTCTTGATCCCTCTCTCTGTCTCTGTCTCTCTGTCTCTCTCCCTCTCTCTCTCTCTTTCTCTGTCTCTCTCTCGTATATGTATAAGTGAAATTGTCATCAACCAGCTGCTGCTCTTGCCTCTACACTTTCCCTGACTCTTGTGCTGCCTTCTTGACCAATGATGGACTCTATCCCTCTGGAATCACAAGCTAAGATAAACCCTTTATTATTATGGTATTTTATCACAGCAACCAAAAAGTTCCCCACCAAAAGTGGCTAGCTTGACAAAACAGTGGAATGACCTTTTAAAGATGAAGTTACTGCACCAATTAGGTGGCAGTGCCCTGTGTGTCTGGGACAAGGCCCTCCAGAAAGTGGTATGTGCTTTGAATCAGCAACTAGTACATGGTAATATTTCTCATATAGCCAGGATCCACAGGCTCAGCAATCACTGGGTAGAAATGGAAATGGTCCCCACTCAGGTAAATGGTGACCCACTTGGAAAATTTCTGTTTTCTGACCTTACGTTCTGCTGGCCTGGAACCAGCATTCCATTGAACTGGAAGCCAAGACTTCCTCCTGGCTACTTTTGGCTTCTAATGCCCTTAAGCCAACAGACTAAGAAAGTAATAACAATGTTAGGAGAGGTGATTAATCTAGACTACAGTGGGGAAATTGGACTATTTATCCAAAGTGGAGGGGAGGAAGACTATGTCTGGAGTATAGGAAATCCTCTAGGGCATCCCTTGGTGCTACTGTATCCTGTGATTAAATTGGATAAATTATAGCAACCCAATCCAGGCAGGATGACAAAGTGTTCACACCCTCCAGGAAGGAAG